TACGAACACATTTTGGGCTGTTGGCCCTCGTCAGCATGGTGCTGGTTGTACTTCAAAGACCAAAAATTTGGTCCAAGAGGCTTCCTGAAAAATCAAGAAATGGGTATTCAAGATCAAATTTGCGTAAATACACTATAACATGTGAAAAGTAAGGGAAAAAAGTTGGTTATTGAGGTACAGCCTTGCATCACACTGATGAGGGCCAACAGTCTGAAACATGTTCATGGTTGACTTTTCTTGGATTTATCTCAAGAAAATGGGTTGGCCTAATAATATGGGAAAAATCTAAATCAACGCTGAGTTGATTTTAGTTCTACTAGATGGCACTCTGCCATCTAAAATACTCTTGTTAGCTGTCAGGATGTGCCCTTTTTTATTTCTAATATAGAGATATATGTTTTCTAAAAGTAATGGAAAATTTGGTGTAAAATTAAATATCAGCAAGACCAAAATTATAACACCTTCGTAATATAAATAGATTTGAAATTCAACAAGAAAAAATTGATATAGTTGATCACTTCATATTCTTAGGATTCAGAATTGATAAGATGGGAGGTTGGTTAGAGGAAGAGAAAAGAAGAATAGAACTGGGAATGGAGGCAATGATTAAATTGGACAAGATTATGAAAGATAAAGACATTTCAATCACAAGACAAGGAAGAGAATTGTAGAGCCATTGGTATTTCCTGTGGTCACACACACCTATGGATGTGAGAGCTGGACTCTCAGAAAAGGAAAAAGAATTGAAGAATTTGAAATGTGGACATGAAGAAAGCTACTCAGTGCCAGGGACAGATAAAAAGGTCATCTGTGCTTCAATCTTAAATAAAAAGAAATCTGGTAGATCCCTAGAATCCCAAATATGCAAACCAAGACTGACCTACTTTGGACATATAAATAGAACAAAGGCTTTATATTGGATATGTTGATATTGGAAAAAATTGAAGGAGAAGAAAAAAAAGAGTGATAAGGCACAATTTAAAAGACAATTTAAATAAGCCTTTTTTCATTCAAAAGAAATGTGCTACAATCAACAGAATGGAAGAAAGAGGAAATATAAATGATATTTATAGATATGCTTTTTATAATATCTAAAAATAAAAAAAGGGTTTTTTCCACTTTCAATTCTAAGAATAATATTCTGTGTTTCTCAGAAAACTATCTTCTTCTTATCTGTTATCTTGTTTACACATTTGATAACAGTAACTATTTAAAACATGCTGTGGTAAAATTTCTCATTCAGTACTTTTGTCTGAAGATGATAACAATGCTGTTACCGAAACGTCACACACTATTTATTTATTTGGATTTGGTCTTATTACCTTGTGTTTAAAAAAAAAGAAAGACCTGCAATGAGCCGACTAGAAGGGGTCAAAAAAACCTACCAGAAGATCACTAGATAAGCTACAAGTGATAGCAACTAAGATAAAATTGGAGGATATTTGTCCATAGTGTCACCAAGATTCTAAATGGACTTGAAGGATGCTAACAACAACAACAACAATAGAGATATGGGGATGGTGAAGTGGTCTACTTACATTAAGTTGATCCCTTGCTGAGGCATTAGGCTTAAGATCCCTCTCAATGTTGCCAGAACGGAGAGACCTGGCTAGTTTGTGGTGTTTACCCTCTACTAGGTTTTCCTGGAACACACCACGTTCCATCACATCCAACTTTCCAGGGGTAACAAGGCCAGATACAACTAAGTGTGGGACCTACTCAAATAATTTATCTATTACCTGAAAATTTGTAAAACTATCTAATGTTCTTCAATATATTTTAAAAATTTGGTCAAATAAAGAAGGGGTAAGCTAGATTTCAAGCTTGTGTGCTTATACAAGGCCTAAAACAACAATAAGGATATATGCCAAGATTTGAATTATATGGCCCTCCTCCTTTCTGTGGATCCAATCTTTCATTGGGGGTGTTCTGACAATGGGCAGAGTACCAAAGAAATAATCAAATATGGTTTCAGCAGAGGATAAAGTACAATTTTGTAATCTTCTTCCTTGAAATACCCAAAAAAAAAAAAACTCCCTACTGCCCTTATTGTGATAGAAAATATTGGGAGGGCCTGGTTCATCAGTGATGAACCCTCCCAGCAGTTTAGCCAGTTTAACTACCACATACCACTCTAATATTGTATTGGACTGTTCTGCTTAGACATCTGGCACTTTAAGAGAATCCTTGGTTAAGGTAGTTAAGCAAGGACATAAGCTTACAGTAGATCTATATATAAGAAATGTTGAATTAAGCAATGCTCTTTCACAAATGATATACAAAAGCTATAATCAGCTAGGAATAATTTAAACATTTTTGCGCCATCCATATTTTTTGAAACAGAAAAAACAGTGCAAATTTCTTATACAGTAGAACCTCTCTGTAAACCTAGTTGCAGAGCCAAAGTGTCCTTTAGGGAGAGGTATCCTCTTACCCAAGAGTTGCTAGATAATAAAATTGTTACTTTTGCAAATGAAAACTGTTCTTTGTAAAGAGGTGTCCTCTAGCTGAGTGTCCTCTCATGGAGGTTCTACTGTATATAGATGACATACCAATATCTTATGTATTTTAAATGTAAAAATGTATTTGAAATATTTAAAACTTTGTTTAAAAATATCCGGTTGAGAAAATATATATTTAGACAAAACCCAGGTGAAGCCCCATCCCATATAAGGTGTAAAGTCCAAGTAAATAAAATTAAAATAGTAAAAATCCAAGTAAAGTAGAATTCAAGTTGCATTGTACTTTACTCAACTGTTACTTCACTTGGATCCATTGCATAAATTTTACATTGTTAGGATTTTCTCTTTAACCTCGGATATTACTTTTTACTTGAATTGTACATCATTTGGTAGGGCTTGGCTTTGTAACTGTTTTCTACTAGAAAGAATGGCATCTCAACCAAAAATTCCTAAATAAAAAGGAATTGAACTCTGTTATATTAAAGTTAATGAAATTTGGTTGGGATTTAAAAAAAAAATAACAATAACTGAATTTTAGTGATGAATTATGCTTTATACAGTGTATAACATCTTTAATTCAACAAACCATAATCCAACACTTACTCTAATTCAACCACAAAAGGTTAATAAAATCAAATCTAAAATAAATAAATAGTGACGTTTCAGTAATAACATTGATACATAAAAATCCTAAAATATTTATTTATTTGGATTTGGTTATTTTACATTTTATTTCCAATCTATAATTCAAATTATACTTTATCATTTACTTCAACCAATTTTTCACTTACTTAGTTTAATTTAACTTGAATTCAACAGAAAATTGTGATCCTTTAGAAAGTTGAATTAAAGAAGTTGGACTGTAAGTTAATTATTAAATCCATTGAGAATTTATTCCATTGTAGTATTTGTAGAGAGGGAATATTGATCCAATTACTTACCATTCCAACCTCAGGGTCAAATATGGGGCAAATATCTCTTTCAAGGGGTTTCCTAGTTGGTTTTTCTTTCCCTAGTGCCATGGCTAGGACTTTGTCTGTGTCTTTGAAGTCCTGGCAGTTGGGACAATTTGGAGCCTGTCAACACTCACACATTTGTGGATACACATCTTGGAACTTATGCATTTATAAAAATAGAGGTAGTTTATTCCAGCAAAATACAGTAAAACACCTCTATAGCAAACCTTAATAGGACTTAACCTTTGGTTCACTATAGCCATGGTTCACTCTTTTATTTTTAAAAAATGGGGATTATTTCCAGTTGGTTATAAGGGAATTTTCTCTATATCTTCAAACACAAGGTAATAAGACCAAATCCAAATAAATAAATAGTGTGTGACGTTTCGGTAACAGCATTGTTACCATCTTCAGACAAAAGTACTGAATGAGAGAATTTTACCACAGCATGCTTTTAAATAGTTCCTGTTCTCTTGTTTACACACTTGATAACAGGAACTATTTAAAAGCATGCTGTGGTAAAATTCTCTTATTCAGTACTTTTGTCTGAAGATGGTAACAATGCTGTTACCGAAACATCCCGGGTCGTAGCGGTCGAAAACCAACGGTTTAGACCACTCTTTCACCAACCCCCCCCCCCAGACAACATCCTTGTATGTGTGTAAGTGTTGAGAGTTAAATGTATATATCTGTGAATATTTATTTTGTTATTAAAAAAAATCTATTTATTTATTTGGATTTGGTCTTATTACCTTGTGTTTATAATCTATAATCCAAATTGTGCCTTATCAACTCTATATCTTCAGTTAATTTAAGCAAGGTTTTATTGTAGTTGCTAAGTGTCATCTATAAAGATATCTATAGATGGTGCTTAGTTTTAGAGTCTATTTTGATGGGACCTTTATTTTTATAGACCAATATTATAGGTATTGTAGACAACCTAACTGTATATAGTAAGTGGATGATGTGGATACCCCTCTCTGTCATCATGATGTATTATACATACCAAAAATTATTAATACTTATACTATAAATACTATTACTACAAATACTTAAAATTATCAACTTGTATTTTCTATCAGAATTACTTCTTGCGTGAATTTTAGGACACCCTTTACAAGACCAAATAGATAAACTACTGTGCATTTTGGCTATAATGCTTCCACCCAGAGCATTATCTTGTTTATTGTGCTATTTTTTCCCTGATCCTCATCTCAAATTTACTTTTTTGGTTTCCTAAATATAACACTAACCTGGTTTTAGCAGGTTTTTGACTAAAAAAAAAATAGAAGAGCATTATAGCAAAGTTTCACAGTGCAGGCTTGCACACATTATTTTACCTTTTTAAAGTACAACATTCTTTTTTTTAATTCTCCCTAGTACACGTGGTAAAAGCCATGATAATCATGGTGGATAGTTAGCGACTGCTTTTACTGTAAGTACACCACATGGGGAAAACAGTTCGAATTTGCACTCACAAATATGCCAGAGCCCCATTTGATTACTTGCATTCGTTGGTGGGGTTGGACTTTTGCAAGATTCGGGGGCCATTGGAGCATTTTTTTTTTAATTAGAAAAAAAGTGCCCAATCCTGGATTCGATCCTGGGTCGTAGCGGTCGAAAACCGATGGTTTAGACCACTCTTTCACCAACCAGACAACATCCTTGTATGTGTAGACAGACATGCAATGCACTTAGAGGAAAAGACATGCCAACTACGTACATGTGTGTGTGACAAATAAAAAACAAAATAAGTAACAACAGTAGAGAGGAACACTTACTTCTTCAAAGTAAATGACATGAATAAGCTCCTTCTTTAAAGTGATCTTGGGGAACTCTACCATGAGAAACATGTTTTTTGATTCTTTCTTGGTGGACTCGTTGATCTGCTCCACAATACGGAATGTTTGTCTGTCCAGCCACTCGCACTTCTGCATCTGTCCCGAGTGATGTTTCTTTGTGGCCTACAACATCACAATCTCTGGTCACCATTATATTTATAAATAAATACCTGCGTATATATGTCAGATTCGGTAAGAACAGTAGAAGTTTGTTTTATAAATAAAATAAACATTTAATCACAAGGTAATAAGACCAAATAAATAAATAGTATGTGATGTTTCGGTAACAGCATTGTTACCATCTTCAGACAAAAGTACTGAATGAGAAATTTGGAAATATCTTTATTTACGGGGCTGCTAACCAAAATAAAAAATGATTTTTGAGCCCCAAAAAAAGAAGGCACTGGCGAGATAAAATGAGATAGATAGATAAAATTAGAAATTTTACCACAGCATGTTTTAAATAGTTACTGTTATCAAGGGTGTAAACAAGATAGCAGATAAGACGAAGATAGTTTTCTGAGAAATACAGAATAATACTCTGTGTTTCTCAGAAAACTATCTTCTTCTTATCTGCTATGTAAATAAGTATTTACAGTTATGCTTTTAATTATATCTAAAAAAAGTGGGTTTTTTCCACTTTTAATTCCAAGAATAATATTCTGTGTTTCTCAGAAAACTATCTTCTTATCTGCTATCTTGTTTACACACTTGATAACAGTAACTATTTAAAACATGCTGTAGTAAAATTTCTCATTCAGTACTTTTGTCTGAAGATGGTAACAGCGCAGTTACCGAAACATCACACACTATTTATATATTTGGATTTGGTCTTATTACCTTGTGTTTATAATCTATAATCCAAATCGTGCCTAAACATTTAATGTTTACATTTCCTGTGTGATGGTGCATTAGCTTTATATTAATGTGATGTTCTCCCTTTGAAGCTCTTACTGTATTCTCAACCTGCAACCCCAAAACACATTATTGACTGTATTGACTCATCCAATGATGAGCTCTACTCTTTCCTGGCAGACACCATCAAAAGTCTCAAGCTTTACAAGCTTGATACCTTAATATTATTGAGTGGAGATAAGAAAGAAGAAGAAGAAGCTCTTACTGTGTAATTAATCCAACTGCCTAAATCAACACAGCACCCACAACCCATCAAATAATTCACCAACTATTCAAGTTGACAGGATAAAAGTCTATCATGAAATTGATTCAAAAACACAAGGTAATAAGACCAAATCCAAATAAATAAATAGTGTGTGACGTTTCTGTAACAGTGTTGTTACCATTTCAGACAAAAGTACTGATTTACCATCTTCAGTACTTTTGTCTGAAGATGGTAACAACGCTGTTGCAGAAACGTCACACACTATTTATTTATTTGGATTTGGTCTTATTACTTTGTGTTTATAATATATAATCCAAATTGTGCCTTATCAAAATTGATTCAACTACCATTAATGACCCACAACTCATATTCATTACACATATTTAGCAGTTTTTTTTTAAATATATAATATATACAGTTGTACAGTCTACTCTCGTTATAACGCCACTCGATATAACGCCACCCTCGCCTTACGACGCTTTTTCGTTTTGTCCCAATCGACATCAATGTATTTTTCTCGATATAACGCCACTCCCTCGCTGTTCGCCTTCCGCCGCTGATTTTTCGTATCCCAAGTAGCAAAAACCACTCGTTATAGCGCCGCTCACAACGTCCGTCACCCCCCCCCCCCGCTTTCTTGTCTGCATTTTTTTACGCCAACGGCGCCGGACTTTGTTTGCTGTTGACACAACAGATAACAGATTGTATGAACAGCCAGAAGATCCTTTTCCTGCTTGTTCCTGGGACATACACAGTCGCTTCATCCTTTGCTAACGTCAACACAACAACTTTATTGTCGTATCATGAGTTCCCAAAAGCGTAAACGTGAGTCGATCACCATTGAAAAGAAGAAGAAGATATGCCAGTTGGCAAGAAATAACCCTACAATGTCGAAGAATGAGATTGGAAAGCGTTTCTCATTTCCACGAACAACTGCCCGTGATATTCTCACTCAGGCTGAGAAGTGGGAAAATTATACTGTTGGTTCTTCAAAGAGACAAAGAGTCGGAAAATTTAGTGACTTGGAAGACGCTCTCTTCAACTGGTTTACCCAAAAGCATGCCAATAATATTATTATTACTGATGACCTCCTAAGAGAAAAGGCAAAAAAACTTGGCGAGCATTTGGACGTACCAGAAAATTTTGCGTACAGCAGTGGGTGGCTGCAGCGATTTAAAGGGAGATTCCATATTTCGCAACGACGGCTCTGTGGGGAAGGCGCATCGATTTCTCCAGCTATCATTGATGAACATCTTACAAATTTGAACAGTATTCTGGCGAACTCCGGATATGATCCAGCTAACATATACAATGCAGACGAAACAGGATTATTTTTTCAGCTCATTCCTGACCGAACACTTGCTCACAACGATGAAAACTGCCGTGGTGTCAAGAGGATGAAGCAACGAATCACTGTTCTACTGTGCTGCAACTCTACTGGAACAGACAAGCGGCGATTGCTGATTATTGGAAAATCGGCAAAGCCTCGATGCTTCAGAAACTTTAGTCCACACTTCTACTGCACTTACACATCTAGCAGCAAAGCATGGATGACCTCTAGCATCTTTCAAGAATGGCTACTGCAGTTCAACAAGCAGCTTGTCTCTGAAGGACGTCGTATCCTACTGTTGTTAGATAACGCTACGTCTCACTGCGTCCCTAATGATGGTCTCAGCAACATAAAGATACACTTCCTTCCACCAAATATGACTGCCAGTCTGCAACCACTGGATAGTGGCATCATCAAAAGTTTCAAGGCTCAATATCGCAAGCTTCAACTCCAGAAAATGTTGGAATTGGCGGATGCCCATCTACCCACAGAATTACGTCTGGATTACGCTGTGCGCTATTGTAAAATGGCTTGGGATTCTGTGAGCCGTGATTCCATTAGCAACTGCTGGAATCACACAGGCATTATTCGCTTCACTTCTACTGCTGCAGTTGAGCCTCTTAATTATGGAAATCTGCTCGATCACGACATCTTCGCTATTACACCAGAGAATTTGATGACTGAAAGGGAGTTTCAACTGGTTGATGATTCCCAGGAGGCGGAAATGAAGATAACAGATGACAATTTTCTGGTGTCCACTGTTACAGCGAAAGAAGAACTTGGCGAGGATGATGATGCAACAGTGACCCAGCGCCTACCATCGTTATGGGAAGCCAGAACAGCTGCTGAGACAGTTTTGTTGTTTCTTGAGCACTCCAAGAGAGCAACATCTGACGACGTCAATCTATCTGCGGATTTGTTACGCCGTGTCTATGCCATAAGTGAGGGAGAGAAAACACAAGTTGTGATCACAGACTTCTTCAAGAAAATGTAATTACTTTTTAATGAATACAAATAAATTAATTATTCCAATTTGTCATATTAATTAATTAATGCAGGCATTCTATATATTGACTTAGGGTATAAGTTGTCTTTAGTAATTGTTATAAATAATTTATTGTATCTTTAAATTTCACATTTTAAACGTGTTCGATACAACGCCACCCTCGCCTTACGCCGCTATTTTGCAAAATCCGGATGGTGGCGTTTAACGAGAGTAGACTGTATAACCTCTCTCTATTTCAAATTCAACAAACTAAAAAGAATTACTTAAAATTTTTCTTTTATCTTAAAGATAGAGGGTGCCTGGCCAGCATCCATTGTTCTTGAAATATTTTAACACCTTTCCATACATTTTATTTTTTTTCCTGACAAGAACAAAATATTTTTGTTGAAATGTCAAAAAAAAAAAAAAAAAACTCTACTGGCCAAAGTGTCTTTTATATTTCAAGAACATTTTTTTTCTTCTTGATTCTGAAAAGTCAAATTCACATCATTTGGTAGTAATTTTTTTTTTTTCAATACAGAGGTCATCGTAGAACATCCTATCATTTTGTTCTGACCAATTTTCTTTCACACAATCCCAGACCATTCTATAAGATTATCAAACACCAATCCTCTACATCTCTCTCCCTTCATTCTTCAAGGTGGATGATCTCCCAATGATTTCCTCAGAGTACATGTCCTCTAAACTTTCATTTCATTTTGATTACATTTCATTTAGAAGGCTAGAAATGAATTTTGTGATAAAATCATCTAACTTACTTTAATTCAACACATAATGATAGGCACAATTTGGATAATAGATTATAAACACAAGGCCAATGCTATGTAGGACAAACATCCAGAACCTTAAAAGAAAGAATGAAAAACCATGAATATGCTCTAAAATGGGATAAAATTGAGAATTCTGCACTTGTAGAACATAGAAAAATCACAGGGCATAATAATTTTAACCTAAAAGAAACAAAGATACTAGATTATGAGAAAAATTATTTTAAGAGACAATTTAAAGAAGCCTTTTTCATTCAAAAGAAATGTGCTACAATTAACAGAATGGAAGAAAGAGGAAATATCAATGATATTTATAGATATGCTTTTAATTATATATTTAAAAAAAAAAAAGTGAGTTTTTTTCACTTTTAATTCTAAGAATAATATTCTGTGTTTCTCATAAAACTATCTTCATCTTATCTGCTAGCTTGTTTACACATTTGATAACAGTAACTATTTAAAACATGATTTTTTCTCATTCAGCACTTTTGTCTGAAGATGGTAACAATGCTGTTACAGAAATGTCACACACTATTTATTTATTTATTTGGATTTGGTCTTATTACCTTGTGTTTAATTCAACAGAAAGCTCGG